ATAGATAGATAGATAGATAGATAGATAGATAAAATAAAATGCAGACTCAGTGAAGAGAAGAAAAATCTGAATCAAATCAATATTTGGTGTGACCACCATTTGCCTTCAAAACAGCATCAATTCTTCTAGGTACACTTTTTTTTTAATGGAACTCATCAGGTAGGTTGGCCCTAACATCTTGGAGAACTACCCACAGTTCTTCTTCTTCTGTGCATATTGACAGCCTCAGTTGCTTCTCTCTCCTCATGTAATCCCAGACAGACTTCATGATGTTGATATTGGGGCTCTGTGTTTTGTCTTTAATACAAGGTGCCACTACTCCAGATATGTTTGCAGCGGAGTGGTCAGTTGTCTGTACTGTCAGCAAAAAGATTTTCTAAGTGAAAGTAATTTAGGAGTTAGTTAACAGTGTAAATTACTGTGGGCATAAGCAAATCCGTCTAGATAAAATACATGTAGGCCCCACTATGGCTGACACACTATGGCCTTACAGGCTTCAAGGTGCTACTGTGAAATCCTAAATCATTTTGGCAAATTGCTCACACAAGCTGCTGTGGCATATGATCATGTAAAATCTCTGTGACACTATGTCAATCAAACAATGCATATCAATAACGTTACTGAGATTGAATAAAAACTGATTGAACATCGACGGAGCCGAGGTTACTATGGAAACGGATGGGAGCTAAGGTGCTACATTGGGCAAAAACAAGCTAAACACAGTATGTATACACATATGTGGGCAAGTGTAGGTCCTAAACGAAACTAATATGATATGTGACAACCTGGCCACGTGATAGTACAGCGAATACACGACAATATTTATCAAGGCCTACTCAGGAGGATGAGAATTTCTCCACTTCCTGGATAACCAACAAGCTAGCGCGCAGCAGCACTGAGCGTCAGGCGCATCCTTTACAGCACTGCAGCTGAATGTCCAGTTACTTGCACGGCGGGTGCAGTAGCAGACTGAAAAAATACTGAATCACTCACGAGAAAAGGGGTTTCCTTACCTGTCGTGTCTCGTCCCGTCTTATACATCAGCTGTTTTCCGGGTGTGCTGGGATGGTGTGCGAGAGTGCGGGAGCGCGCAGGTTGCAATCACATCAGCAGCTCCAGCTCAGGCAGCGGAGGCGCGCATCCTCTCCATGGTACCATTTGTAGGTACTCGAGTTGCAACATCACAGCGGTCGCCCAAATATTGTTCTCACTTGGTTTAGGTATAAATTGTGGCAGACTACCACCTCCATTATAACAGCGAACAGTTACACACAATAATAACTGCATTCCCAAATTAACACTGTTGATTTTAACACTTTTAAGTGTGTCAAGTGTCTATATGGGTCCTCACCATAGGTGTCATTTACAGTGGGGACACCAGCACATTTTGAAATGGCTGATTTTGTCCCCATCACTTTTTGAAAGCATTTGTTAAAAATGTTCTGAAAAATAACTTGCAAGAAATGTTAACTAACAAATGAAAATGCTGTGAGAAAGGTTTATTTGCACAATAAGAAAACATTAAATGCAATTTAAATATAGAACAAATGTGCATTGTCCAAAATAAGTAACTCTAAAAAAAGCTAAAAAAAAACAAACAAAAAAAGATTACTGTTTTGTATTCTGTTATATTTTTATATTTATGAATTCTTACCTGCCAGCTGAATTCGTCAAGTCTCGTGACACACTTCTATCGTCACATCCCTAATCTGAGCACTTATGTCCCTACCACTTTTCAACACAAAGTGATGCCATTGGTCCTCACCATAGAGTGTTAATTTAACTTTTTGGGGGGAGTTGGTATCTTAACACTTAAGTTTAGTGTAATTTTTTACTTATTTTACTGTAGTTAACATTTAACACTTTATAAAACCAGCCAGTTAGTAACACCTCTATGTACTGTTAGATAGGTTATTAACTGTCTAACATGACTGTTTAATAACTACACAAGATTTTAAAGGGGTAAATATCTCTTCCACATTCCTAAAAAAAATACTTGGAAAAATAAAGTTAGCAAAATCAAGGTGGTACTGTTTGGTGTTTTAAAACATTTATTTTAACACTTGAACCTCCAAAATTAACAGAATGAACAGATTAGGCACGCGTGCTACCCGCTAGCTCCTTAAACAGTTTCAGTGGCTACTAACAGTTTTGCAACACAAGTTAAATTTACAGTGGCTCTCCATTGCAAAACGACCAGGTGGCAGTAGAGAAATATCAATATTAAATATAACATTAACAGATCCTACTTCATTTACTCATCACCAGTGATGGACAGTAAGACGTTACTGTGATAATGTTACTTTTCCCAGTAACAAGTGTAAGGGGTTACTATTTCCAAAAAAGTAATAATATTACAGTTACTAATCCCAGTAACGATACGTTACTGCATTACTGGACGCACCATCCTTGACGTGAATGCACGACTGAGCGGCAGGTCAGCGGCACTGGAGCATATGTTGTTCAAAAATCCAAAAGGAAGAACGGAAAATGAGGGAGAGAGGGGTTCTTTCCAAAGCTGTAAGTAAGCTATCACCATTATTGTGTCACAGTCTAAGATGCAAAAAATACTGTCATCCGTTGTAAACTTAATGCTACCAGCAAAAAGCTTTCAACCACAAACAATTCTACATCTAATTGATTGAAGCATCTGCTAAAGCAGCACAGTAATGTAAAGCTTATGGAAAGGAACTCTGGCAGCTAAGTTTATCACCCAGTAATAAGGTATGTAATATTACTTTTTTAAGGAGTAATAAGTAACTAGTAATTTATCACAATTTCTGAGTAACTTGCCCAACACTGCTTATCAAACAGTGTTAGTTTGGACGTAGGTCAGGAGCACGATCCCTAGTTTCACAGCAGTCAGTGGAGTGCTTTCAAAGACTCTTCTGGCTTCAGCCAATCAGTGTGTAGGCCTATGCAGTGGGGGCGGGGTGACATGAACACTTCAAGTGTAAAAGCCAGGATCTGAGTTAGAAGTTCAGAGTTAATATTTATACAATTTTATGTACAGGTTTGATTTAATGACACTTTGTTTTTACACCCAGTTATGACACCAACTACTGAAAAATATAATGGATTTGACTCCATCTAGAGTATAATTACCTCTGCTCTTACTCATATTTTACTAACACCAAAAGTTTAACTCTTGTTCTCAATTTTCTGTGCAGTATAAATTTATTTTTTCTTCAAATTGCTGTCCTTCAATATCATAAATCATGAGTAGCCTATATAGTAGCATGAACAAATGCTACCATGGTTTTTCTAATTATTTTGGTTTACAAGGTAAACTAAACATGCACTTTTCATGCCTTCCTTTGACTGAAGTCCCCATAAATTATTAAGTGAAATACAGTGCTGTCAGATGAACTCAGAGCAGTGCAGAGTTCCTGTGTGATGAAAGGTGCAAGATCAGCTTGCTGTGTGTAGTCATAGCTGTTCATAGGCTTTTCCTTCCGATTGGCCTGGGCTTGTATCAAACAGTTTAAATGCTACCTACAGTAGAGTACATTTGCCTGGCCTAATTTATGTGATATCCTAACTGTTCCTAAATCCTAAATGCTGGATGGCTTGAAGGAATCAAAGGAATCAAAAACATTTTTTAATTGTGTGGGCAGAATCGATTTGCATTTATTATAATGTCTGCAATTTATGAAATCTGTGTGGGGGAAAATAGTGTTTTGTAACAAGCAATCTAAAGAAAAACACGATAAGCATGTTAATTGTCTTAGTCAATTAAAATGATTAAACACTTGCAATGCAGTGCTGTGCAGTGAAGTAAGCATTATATTAACATGACCTGTAACTTTAAAAACAGGTCACTCTACATTCTTGTTTTATTAAATTGTTTGATTTGCTTTGTTTTTATCAATTAAATAACTTGTTTAAAAACATGTTTTTGTCCGCAGTTAATAATGCACCATACCAGTAGATGGTGTAATAGTGGGCTGAAATTGCCTCAATTATTTAAATGATATAACAACAACAAAATCTTCAGCAAAGACATGAAGAAAAATTCCATTGTTATATTGAACAGGCCAGTGAACTTTCAGCTTTGATACTTAACCTTTCCCATTACCATGTTAACGGTGTAATTCACTTAACATGAAATACAAATCCATTCAAGAATTTATCAGTTAGTGGGAAATTTTGACATGTGATAGCACATTGAATTAATGCCACTGATACCAGTGAGCCATTATTCACAATACTGTGTCCTTGGAAGTAACAAAACTAACAAGATGCAGCCATGTGCTATCCTGATGTCAAAAGGTCTTCTACAAAAAAGGGCTAAACATGCTCAACATACTCTACGTCAGCTTATGCAATGCAACCTTCAGTGTCTATGGATAAGAGTAAAAAAAAGTATGTTGCCTGTTACTCCTTTTACATTTTCTAGCCTGGTTCAAATGTTGGTCCAGATAGAATGGTACTGCCTTGAATGTCATTGAACGGCAGACAGCCTTTTGAGACTTACTGAAATTGGAAATTTGTATTCAACTTTACTGGGTTTTACATTAGCTTTTACATCAGTGTCAAAATATGTATATCCATTTCTACTTGTCATGATCATATTTTATTCTCTAGTTTGATTTGTCAAAGTAGGAAAAGCATAGGTGTTACTGATAACAATAGTGTGACAGTTAGCTAGCATGTACAATGCCAGGACCGGAGCAGCTAAAGGGGATTCAGCCATCATTATTTTTTTATTCACACCTGGGCTTTTCCTGTTGCGACATGTCAAAATGTCTAAAGAGAAAAGGCCTAGAGGCAGGGATTGATTTTGGCTAATCAGCAACATCAAAAGGAAAGATAGAAACAAATCTGAAGCACCATAGGGAGATCATCTGGAAAAGGAAGGAAAAAAATGAAACAAAATGTTAAAAAAAAAAAAACAGTCTGCTTCTAATTACATCTCAAACTGGTGACTTAACTTTTCATTTTGGCAGTTTTCCCTATGCACTCCAGCTCCTGCCCAGGACTGACTGAGTCAAGACTAATCAAAGGCACTTGAAGAGGACTGTTGGCCTCTGAAGGGACTGAGCCAGATCAGACCAGCCTGCTGCTCTTTCTCTCCTTCTCTCCTTTTCTTTTCCCTCTCACTCTCTCTTCCTGTCCTGTCTGTTTAAGGAGAGAAAGGTTGGGAAATTCCTTCAAGCTACTTTACTTCAGGTTTTTGTGGGATTTAAACATGCACACTGAGGTTGTGGTACAGTCCATGTTAGGGCCGTTGTTTCTGATTCTGCTCTCTACCGTGGAGGACACTTTGTTACAATCGGTGAGGTGAGTTTCTACACAGCTTAGTTTTTTCTTGTTTATTTTGGTGTAGTCTAGAGAGCAAGAAGGAAGAGGGAGGTGCAGAGTTTTGCTGACAAAGACAACATTTGGAGAGTACAATGTGACTTTAGGAGTGCCTATTCATGTAGTTTGCACTTGCAGATTCTTTGTGCAGTTCTTTACGCTGCTATTCTTGCTAATAATTTTGAATGCCAAGTCATGGGGGAAGAGTGTGCTTCTCTTGTTCCATTATTTAACACTGTATAGCACTTTTTTAAAACTTAAAGACGTTCATTTATTTTCCTTTGGACACCTCAGCTGACTTGAAGTACCGTAACAATGTTGTGACAGCTTTTGTGGTTGTGGGTTTGGTGCAAAAGAAGCTTCAGTGACAGTTTAGCACAAACTAAATTTAATAAAGAGCAAAATCCAGAATCCTCAAATGCTGTTAACACAACATTTATGCAAGAAACATTATTAGTAACTTTTTGTGCTGTGCCGTATCACTTGTTTTTGCTTTTTTATAAAATCAGGAATATTTAATGAAAGCCCCTAATGCCGTAAAACCTTAGATTTTTCAAAAATATTACATTTATTTGAAATCAAATCTGAAAATGGAAAGAATGGAATAAGTGTTGGCTAAAATATGAATGTGGAAGATTAACTTCTGTTAACCCTGGCCTTTTACATTGGAATCTCAGTCAGCAGAACTGTAAACATTGCATTATGATTCAAACTTAACTTAGTTGTAGAGGGGGTATTTACCCCGAGCAGGTGCACCATGCCTGTAGTGATTATATTTTGCATGTCATAGTGTACAGTGCATAGTTTTTTTGGACAGCAGTCACAAAACCACACACAGAAAGCAAGACCTCTTGAGAGGTAATTACAGTGTTTTCCTCTGTTTTATACATAATGCATAACAAATAATCCCTACTATGTTTGTTTACCTGATATGTCATAATTAAAAAAAACTTGTCAGTGCCAAAAAGAGTAGGTGTCAAACACTGAATAAGGATGGTTATGTTTTGTAACCTCAATTCTAAGAACACAGGCAAAGCCCTTTGACAGAGTCTTTAGGCTTGGCCGCTAAGGGTGTGCTATGACGTTTCCATGTACAATGCACAATCCAATCAACATCCAAAATGTCAACAACCTCTTAGAGAAGCAGGATTAAGGTAGTGGGCTCCACATGTACTATAAAACTAGGGTTACAATACATAACCTTTTCTCAACTTCACACTGGCTTTATGGGCCCTGTAGTTTAGGGTTTTTTTATTATTTGCATTATTTGGGCTTACTGTCAGCCACTGAGCATACACACCGATATTATCTGCAATTACATAATTTTATTCCATCCTGTTGACAGAATAGGACTGTTGATACATAGCTAGGCTAGCTGGGTAGTTATTCCTCATGTAATTATGCTGATTTTACAGTTTCTTTCTTCCTATGTTTTTTTTTCATGTATGTATAGTGTTTTTCACATTTGATTAAAATGATGACACCAGGTGAAGATAGCTGTCTCTGTGTACCCTCCTTTCGACCACTTGAACTACCCTTACAATGAGGCATTTTTCCATTAATAACAGTGTTATTGGTTAGGCATTTGGATTTACTAGACTGAAATACATTTGCAGTGCATGAATAAGTCCAACAATAAAAGCGTCTGATATTTTCCTACTTGATTTTATTCCACACTCATGCACTGATGATAACTGTAAAAATAATATTCTCAGCCCTTAACATTTTTGTTGTATTTCATTTCCATTCCAGCCCTCTACAATGTGGCAATAACATCAAGAACCTCTACTATCTATGTTAATTCTCATAGAGGCTGTGTTGATATAGCATGCCAGAGCACATGGAGGAGGACAGACACAAACTATGAAATTTTTTCTTCTTTCCCAAGAAACAGATGGAAAAATGCATTGAGCTGCAATGTACTGAGTGTAAAAGAACACCTGTTGTTCTTAGGTAGTGTTTGAGGGAAATATCCTCAACGGGCTCAAATGGATCCTTTGACAAAGCCCTGAGCCCTACAGGAAGACAGACAGTTATACAGTTGGCCACAATTACATGACCCCTCCCGGAAGCATTTTGAGAATATGTAATGAAATACAAGTGTCTTGTTGAAACATTAAAAAAGATCTGGTTTACAATGAAATGACAATTAAATTTATACAAATGGAGACCAACACGATTAGTAAATGTCTGAAATCTCAATTTACTTCTCACTATTGAGTAAATAATTTAGTCTCTATCATATAGGGAGTAATGAGTGAGTGAACAAGTGAGTGGTTTTGGACACAGGTCATCCTGATTAGCAGATCCATTCAAAATTCAGTGGGCTGCTCCTCCTACGGAGGAGTGTGGTCAAGACTAAAGGCCATCAGTGGGTGAAGCCTGTGTGAAATCGAACCTGTATGACCTTCCCATGACACATGGAACACACACATTCTGTGTTTAATTTTAATGGGAGTGTCAGGGACACTGTTGATTGTTTGAAATTGGTCTACTGTTTCCAAACTGGACAGTTTAGAAGGGCATGAATAGAAAGAGAATGTCAGACAGCCTCCAAGTGAAACAAATCTTACAGGGCGATCCCATGGTGTAAAAATAAAGCTCTGCAACAACTGCCGGAGTGTGCTCAATGAAAGGTGAAGCTGTGTCTGTGCTATTTGATTTGTTTGATTTATTAGCTTAATGCTTCACATTATGTTTTGTGTGTGTGTCTGTCTCATAGGCATTTGTTTTTATTCTTGATATAGATCCTAACAGGCTCGCTGCACTGTGAGAATTATATTTTACCCACTATTCTTTAACTACATTATCCACAAATGGAAGGAAAGTTGAACTTCAATTTTATGTATTTCTATGTGAATGATAGGTGATAAGACGTCATCTTGCAGCTAAAGACAATTAAACTATACATGTTCACAGGAGAAAAAGATGAAGGGGTTTTTTTCAATCTGTGTGTTCACCCAATAAATACTATAAATACCAAACATTAAATAGGTTCTTTTTGATGTATGAAGGTAGGTGCTGTGACTGGGCAAAGGTATTTTCGCACAGATGTGGTATTTTGTATTTCAAACAAACACAGGTGGTAGCACACTTGACCCATGACCTCAGAAGTTTCCAAAGCTGCATAACAACTGATCTTCTTTCGTTTCCCCAGCCAGGTGGGTGGTTTGTGTAAGCTGTCCACAGAGTCGTCCCTGCGCCGTTGCCGGACACCTGATGGCAAAATCTGCAGTGGGAGGGGCAAGTGTGACTGCGGCTCCTGCGTCTGTGAGGCCACAGAGCCAGGGAAGTTCTATGGTCCACGCTGCGAGTGCCACGACTGGGTCTGCGCTACACATAATGGGAAGACTTGCAATGGTGCGTACAAATATATATGTATTGACAAACATAACCAGATGGTTTGATGTTATGAAGAGGAGTCAGATATGCTATAATATCAAGGCAAGGCAAGGCAAGTTTATTTGTATAGCACATTTCAACAACAAGGCAATTCAAAGTGCTTTACATAAAACATAAAAGCAACAAAGGGAAATTGAAAAAATAAAACACATTATAACCGGACGTTACAGTGCAGTGAAAGGTAATCTATGGTTTAATTTAATAAAAAAAGGGGTGGTAAAATGAAAAGTCTCCAGTCTTAATTTAGAAGAACTGACAGTTTCAGCAGACCTGCAGTTATCTGGGAGTTTGTTCCAGATATACGGAGCATAATAACTGAACGCTGCTTCTCCATGTTTAGTTTTGACTCTGGGGCCAGAAAGCAGACGTGTCCCAGACGACCTGAGAGGTCTGGATGGTTCATAACGAAGCAGAAGATCAGAAATGTATTTTGGCCCCAAACCATTTAGTCCTTTATAAACTAACAGCAGGATTTTGAAATCAATTCTTTGACATACAGCAAGTCAATGTAAAGACCTCAGCGTTCTGAATCAGTTGCAGCTGTCTGATGGATTTCTTAGGGAGCCCTGTAAAGACACCGTTACAGACGTCGAGTTGACTGAAGATAAATGCATGGTCCTGCTGAGACATAAGTCCTTTAATCCTTGATATATTCTTCAGGTGATAGTAGGCTGACTTCGTAATTGTCTTAATGTGGCTCTTTAGATTCAGGTCTGAGTCCATGACTATACCAAGATTTCTGGCTTGGTCTGTGGTTCTTATCATTACCGATTGAAGCTGAGCACTGACTTTTAATCGTTCTTCCTTGGCCCCAAAAACAGTAACTTCAGTTTTATCTTCAATTGAAGAAAATTCTGGCACATCCAGTCGTTGACCTGCTCAATACAGTCACTCAGTGCCTGTATAGGATCATAGTGCCCTGGTGATATGGCTATGTAAATCTGTGTGTCATCTGCATAATTATGGTAACATATTTTGTTATTTTTCATAATCTGAGCCAGTGGAAGCATGTAAATGTTAAACAAAAGAGGCCCCAGAATGGAGCCTTGGGGAACTCCACATGTCATTTTTCTTAGCTCAGATGTGTACTTACCTATAGACACAAAGTAGTCCCTGTCTTTTAAGTAGGATTCAAACCAGTTTAGTAGTCCACTACTCGAAAGCAGCACAGAGATCCATTAATACTAAGACTGAAATTCTGCCACTGTCAGTGTTTAAATGGATGTCATTGAAGACCTTAACAAGAGCTGTCCCAGTGCTGTGGTGTGGTCAAAATCCTGATTGGAAGACAGTTATTTAGTGCCAAGAAAGCACTAAACTGTTGAAAAACAGCTTTTTCAATGATTTTACTTAAAAATGGGAGATTTGATATGGGCCTGTAACTGGTCATTAGTGACCTGTCTAGATTGTGTGTGGGAAAACTGCTGTTTTCAGGACCTGTGGGAAAAAACCTGATAGGAGAGATATGTTGAAATTTTGTAGTAAATCTGAGACCATGCATTTAGAAACATTTTTGAAAAAACCTGTTGGCAGAATATCAAGGCAGCATGAAGAGGATTTCAGATGTTGTATTATCCTCCAGGTTTTTATGGCTAATAGAATCAAATTGTCTCATGCTATATGAATTGTTTTTAAGTGGACACAGGGACAAGGCATATCCTGTTACTGACATGGAGGCACTGATTGCTTCTCTAATTGTTTGAATTTTGTCTGTGAAGAAGGAGGCAATTTCATCGCAGGCCCTGGTGGATAGAAGTTCAGAGGCTACAGACACAGGAAGGTTGGTTAGCCTGTCGACAGTAGCAAACAGGACACGTGCATTATTAGTGTTTGTGGTGATGATGTCAGGCATTTCTCAGTTCTAAATTATAAATGCGAAGTCTCTCTTTATAGACGTCATAATGAACCTGGAGATTTGTTTTCCGCCACCTGCATTCAGCTTTTCGACACTCTCTTTTTTGAGTTCTAACCAGCGTGACACTTTCACTTTTGCTGGTGCAATGGCATTAATAACATTTGTAATTTTAGAACTGAAATGATCTACAAGCTCATTTACTGAGACCCATGAATGGTGTTGAAGAGAAAGCCTGAATAAATTTTTCACTAGTGTTCTCAGTGATATGCCATTTTGTGATTACCTCTGTTTGTACATTTGTGTGCACAGAGATAGCACTCGCAAAGAAAACACAAGAATGATCAGAGAGAGCAACATCAATCACCACAACCTTGGAAATGTCCAGACCCTTGGAGATTCAATACAGATTATAGACAGCAGTTCACCAAAGTCATCAAAAAAGGTTGCACAGTATTTAGGGGGTCTGTGTATATTAAGAAAAAGAGCTTGAGAAGAGGAATTCAGCTGAAGAGCCGCATATTCAAAAGAAGCAAAATTCCCATAGGACGTTTTTGCATTGGAAGGAGTTATTAAATAAAATGGCAACTCCACCTCCTCTCTTATGCACTCTAGCTTCACTCATAAAACTGAAGTTGGGATGGGTAAACTCAATAAGGACAGCTGCACTGTTATCTTGTTCCAACCAAGTTTCAGTTAAAAACATGAAATTAAGATTGTGAGTAATTATAAAATCATTGATTAAAAATGTTTTTCCTGCCAAAGACCTAATTTTAGTGTGTTAAAAACATTATCTGGCCCACCTTTTTCGACAGGCTGTGGCTGACGAGGAATTAATACTAAATTTGCAGGATATGTTGAATACTTCCTGTTTCTTAACACATTCACCATTCTTTTTCTGTTACCTATCAAGACAGGAATTGAGAAGGCTACCAGCACACTGGGCTTGTCCTGGGAAGAATCATGAGTGCTATTTTCCTTGTAGCCTGGACCCAGCACATATCAGTCAGAGCTTGCTGGGCTTTTCCGTGATTGCGGCGTGGGAGAACGGGTTTGGAGCTGGACGGTGAGGGGGGTTTATGGTAGAGAAAATGGGAGTAGAGCGAGGGAAGGTGCGGGGAGTAAGTTTGGTCCCAGCACTAACCAGCTCGTTCATGTGATCAGTGAACTCCAACAGGGGGGAGGAGGGAGAAAGGGTGTCTGGGGATAAGGGCGACCAAGATGGGGATTTGAAGGGTAAAGATGGTGAATCCTCACTGTTGGTTTTAAGTGAGGGAGGTGGAGACTCTTCCTCTTGGCTCAGATGTCTCCCTTGATTAGAGCTCTCTTCCGGCGGGGGCTGAGGTTGCTCTCCTTCAAGGTTTCTGGCGTGTTGTGTTGTCTTCTTCTTGTTTTGATTCCTCTTGTCTCTTGTCCTTGGCAGAGGGAACAGATGAGTGACGCAGAAAGTAAAACAGGTTGGAGCTGAACAATTTTACCCCTGACTTGTTAAGGCGAAGTCCATCTGCCTTAAAAAGATTTCTGTGGTCCCACAGAACGTAAAGATTTTCGATGAAATGCACTGAATGGACAGTACATGCCATTGAGAGCCACATGTTCAATGCCATCAATCTGCTGAATCCCTTGGCTCGTCTTCAGATTGGCGGTATAGGGCCACTGATAAACACCTCAGCATTCAAAGAGCTGACTGTGTTCAGCAGATTATTAAAGTCCTCTTTCAACACTTCAGACTGTTGCTTCACAACATCATTGGTCCCGATGTGCAGTATGATGTTTTTCACAGTAGGATGTTCAGCCACGATATGCAGGATTCTTTCTGCCAAGTCAGAAACCGTGTCCTTCGGAAAGCAGAGTATTTTGGTGTTCTTATTGCACATGCTTCTTACATCGTTTACAGCAGAGTCACCCACAATCAGAGTTCGAGACCCAGTTGTTAGCTTTCCCTGCAGCCTTTTACTTTCTGATTTACTCTCAGTCCTTACCCTTCTGTGTGAGGATGGGATGTTATCCAGGTCATCAGACCTAGATCCAGGGTCCTGCAATAGTGGTGAAAATCTGTTCTGCTGCTGCACACTCGGTTGTTGGGGAGGTTTGTTGCTAACTCTCCGTTTCGCAGCTGTCCACGGCTGTGTCCTACTAAGAACAGGGGCTGAAGAGGCGCTCTGCCTGGATGATAATGCAGGCCAGCCAGTTACATCACAAATCTCAGGGCGCTGGTTTCTGCCTGTTACTTGTCCTCCCATTTCCCACGGAAATGATTTACTCTTAGGCTTTGCACCAAGAGCATTCCAGAGAGAACTACCACTTTTAGATTTATTACCCAGTACACAGGCCTCCTGCTTCTTGGTAGTCTTGTTGGTGCTAATTAGCCGTGTGTTAGTATGCTCTTGTCCACTGTTTTGGGTCCATGGAAAAATAGTGTCATTCCCACATAATCCATCAATATCAATTTTATTTATTTAGCACACTTAAAACAACAAAGGTTGACCAAGGTACTTTACAGGGTAAAAATAAATTAACAAAACATTAATTAGGATATATAATGATACTAAAATTGCCAGGGATCAAAAAAGAAAAGTGAACACTGTTCTCTGTTCTTTTAAAATATAATAAAAGTTTGACTGTCTAAGTTTTATGTGAATCATGTGGCTCCACATATTTTTCTTCTTGGGTTTGCTTGTTAGTGATGGGTCAGTAAGTGATGCAGCAGAGCTCCTCACTGTGGGCTCACATCAGAGAAGTTGGCAAATGGACTCTCCAGCTGATGTTTAGCTTCTGTTTCAGCCAGCTGATTTGTTTAGGCTTTTAATATCCCATTCCTTTGATATGATTTCACATAGAGAAACATGTATTTAAAAAAATGATTTAGAGTATTTTGGCTTCACCTGTGTTTCTTTCTTTATAGCTAAATCAGAGGAGTGCAGTTCTGTGTCTTTGAATGCTCACATCACCTTGGCAGCACTTCAAAGGGTTTCATTGGTAATAGACAGCTGGTTGGTTCACGTACGCTACCACAGCAGCTTTTGTTGGGAGGCACAGCTTTGAACTTCGCCTCTTGCCAAGTTCTCAGAAAGAATACTTGTGGAGTGCATCCACACTGAAGAAC